GATGATATGATCAGGACCCGCCGTTTTCCCGTTTTTTAAATGTGATATAGCATTGGATATTTCATTTTCTGATATTGGTGATTCTAGAATAAATTTATCCACATCCATGTAACATTCTGATGGTGAACTAACCATGTCATTTAAAACATCGTTATCTTGATCGATATCAAATACAGACTCGTTTGAGAATATTTTCTTAAAATGCATTAGCCATTCAGTTTTGGGAATAGAATTTTGATGGTGCTGTCGTCTTTGTAAGAAGCGTATTTCTCTCCAGAATTTAGAAGGACATTTGATCGAACTGTTGAGTCTGTTTTGCCTTTGTTTGCAAAATTTAGATTTAAATCTCCTACAGCAAGTTTTAAACTTATTTCTCATTTTGCAATATTGCGTTCTATTCGAAACTGTGCGTTTACACCGAAATGCTCTGAGGGCCTTACGGGCATCACGCCTCGCTGATTTGCATTCCGCATTCAGTTGGGGCGTTCTATTACTGTTAGCATGTTTAACATTAACCTTTTTCTTCATACACTCGGACGAGATTAAAATCATATGTACAAATTCATCAATAGCACCATCAATGTCAATATCAAGCATTGTATGTAAATGTTGACAACAGGACAACATTTTATCAGATAAATTATCGACAAAGTATTTACATAGCGAATCATTCCAAACAATCTTTTCTTTATCATAACAACCATCGGTCAGTTCATTTTCATTGTGTACATGTGGAAACTTACAAGTCAACTCCAGTGGGAAATGGCCTGAGTCAATGCGATCTCCAATGTTAAACATCTCAATATACTGGAAAAAAAACTGTGAACAGATGATATAATCGTTCACGCTCGAGCCCTGATGATTACAAAAAGTATATTCTCCAAGCCTATCTCCAAAAGCTCTGCCATTGACAATAAACAATTGAAGTGCATAACACATATCTAATAAAATACGACCCAAACTATTTACAACTTGATCATGCGATTTGCGGTCATCGAGTGGGGTATCCCCTTCTTCACTATATTTTAGATGCTCATTTCCGATGTCATCATCAAAACTAACGTAATGGTTATTTCGCTCGCCTGTGCGAGCATTCATATCTCCACAGAGTATTGTGAATGAATCACTGATTTCTGGAAGGGTTTCTATAAGAAACTGTTCGATTTGTTCAATGTTACATTTATAATCTCTGTTAGAATAGTACGGGGAACCAAGGGGTGGGATATAAGTGCATAGTAAGTTGATATCTTTAACAACTGAAAATAACTTTTTAGGCAGTTTCAAGAAGATCAAATTGTCGACTACTGGGGATAGTAAGGTGCACACTTTGCTTATAGAATGGTGGATACAAACACATACACCACCAGAAAGTCTACCACAACCAGATAGCTTTACTGCTGGGCTATAGAAAACGTCATAACCGTCCAACCAATTCATATTTGACATGTCGATAACAAACGTCTCAACAAGGCATATTATTTTGAATTTCCGAAGATGTACTAAAAATTCACAGTCGTTTATTTTGTCCCTCAAACCGTTAACGTTCCAACACAAAAGAGAGAGAGTGGTATTGTCAGTCACGAGATCACTGTCGGAGTTAGTACTTGCGGTGTCATCGTCGATAGGTCCTTGTGAGATAATAACCGGGCCTTGGCCGCTGCCCTATGGGCGTGCCAAACGAGAAGGCGTCTTGCTTCTGTTGCGTGAGGAGTCGGTCGCTGGTTGCCGCTTGCGTTGACGTGTTTGAATCTGACTACGTGTGGACTCACTGGAATTTTCACGATCTACCGTTATGAGTTTGCCGTCTTTAAAGTATCCGAATTTACCGGTTTCCTTAAGGGCTGGTAACTGTTTTCTCTGTCGTGTCGTCAGGTCGCTGGAAATTCCAAGTCCATTCTCCTTGAGGACTGGTCTCGATTTCAGAGCTCGGACCTTATCATCTGATAGGGCGAGTTTCACAATGATGGGACGTGGTTTAGTTGCTTGTTGACGTTTAGCGCCAAGGCGGTGTGCACGAATCACGTCAGACGTAAGACTAAACTCACTCTCTTACTTTGAGAACTAGCCAGAAGTGTTGGGTACAAAAGTTCACAGTGCAATACTACAATGTCCATGAGTAGTTTGTAAAGGCGCTGCCTATGACGATAAAAAGCAATCATATGCCACAGGTGTAAGTGACTTGAGTTTAACGCCGCTTTAGAGTATTTAAGTAAGATCAAGTCAATGTGGGAGGGAAGCCCGAAGTAATGCAGGTCTAAGTCGTTTTCCAGTAAAGGCATATTGACATTTTGTAGTGTTATGATTAGTGTTTGAGTGAGTGAGTGAATTGTGTTTAATGATAAAATAATCAAATTATATATTAATTTTGTTGACACATTTATGTTTTCAGATGCAAGCTATACACGGTAATAGCTTGCAGAAGTGGATGGCGGAGAGTCTAGCTGCTCTATATACCCACAACCGAAAATCTGTCTCCATCTTGGATGCGGCTGCAGGGACGGGCTTGGTCTCTTGTGAGGTAGGTTGTGACATCTGCTGTGGATGGGAATACATTTACATACTGACCTCAGTTGTGAAGGGAATACATGCATATGCTGACCTCTGATGAAGAAGGGAATACATGTACATACTGACCTCTGTTGTGAAGGAAATGCATGTGTATACTGACCTCAGTTGTGAAGGGAATACATGTATATAATGACATCTGTTGTGAAGGGAATACATAGAGAATACTACACGAGGTCTCATTACATACGAATTATACGAAACGAGTATCCTTCCTATGGTATCTGACAGAGCGAAAGCGAGGTCAGATAACATAGGAAGGACACGAGTTTCGTATAATTCGTATGTAATGAGACCGAGTGTGGTATTTTATATAATTATCCACGTCTTACATGCATTAAATTGACAAAATAGCGTATTTTTGATATTTTTATGGTTTCAAACCGCAACCGGTTTCATAAAGAGGTTGCGGAAGAGTTTTGTACTGTAGTACAATATTTGCATGACGTCACACTGTAATGACGTCACTGTCTTGGTAACCGACGTCACGATGCATGTCAGTTGTCATCGCCTCGTACAGCCTCCTACAGCCTCCTACAGTAAACTACTCCGTAGCACCTTGTTTCTTGGTTTGCAGTTGCTTCATTCGGCTAACATCACTGGTGGAAACATTGCGTTTATGTTTTTCGGTGGATATAATGTCTCAGCTCGACTCACAATTAACAGCGACACGGCAACGTTCGCAATGTTTAAATTCCCACAATGCATTAAAGTTGTAGAATGAATGAATACACGTGTTTGTTATGAATGAAAAAATAGTTACGTCTGAATGTGACCTAATTGAGAGGTCATCGGTTATCCAATCAAATCATTAGAATCTCAGGTCAAGTCGTTACGACACAGGTCAACGCGATACGACACTCGTGTGACGTACGAGATTAGTATGCAACTACCCATACGTTGACCTCGTGGGTAATAAATGTGTATACTCTCCTCTGCAGTGAACAATGTATGCTACTCACGTTTTGTCCAAAGTCATCCAACGTAAAAAGATTAAAACACCTCGCAACACAATGTTTGGGAAGTCCATCAGGACCTTATGTCATGATGAACAGACAGACACACGAAGTCGTGGGCACGAAGTGCTTGACAAACAGTGTTAGGGTGTTTCGAAACAAGCCTGTTACCTCAGATCACAGAAGTGTGGATTGTAGCAAGTAAAACAATTATGCCAGGTGTGTGCTACAGGAGACGCATTTCCAGCAGAGGTCAACTCGATCACCAGGCCTCAGCACGAGCGAATACACGTGGTATGATCTGCAGATGGCCCCACGACGTTCTGTCATTTCAGCAAGTATACTGGACGTTGGCCTCATAAGGGATCCCATATATACTGAACAACAAAAGTTTAGCACACTTTTGTTACATTTATATACAAAAGAATGATATGACACAAAATACTGAAATTTGGCCCAAACGTGAACACATGATGACACACTTGAGTGCCATTAAACTTTACTCGATTGTTGGACCGTTGTAAAAACCAGGATGGTGCACGTGCATATCGTGTTTATGCCCATCGGCAGAAAAATCATGCAAACTGGGGTGTATAACAGGGTTGACATGACACACTGGAGTATCAGTGTACAAAAACCGCAAAGAATTGTTCAGTTTGAAGCATGGGTCGTCGGCCTGGAATGCCAGAAAATCAACGCAATGAAGCCCTCGGACGACTACGTGCTAGCCACCAAGTAAGAGACGTCGCCAGGCACTTCCAAGTGCATTACAGCACAATTATTCGTCTGCGGCAACGGGTCCAACAAACTGGCCAAGTTAGAGACCGACCAAGGTCAGGAAGGCCTCGTTCTACCACCCCACGGGAAGACCGCATCATTGTGACGTCATCAAGACGACACAGGTTAACAAGCGCCCCACGTCTGGCCAACGAGCTGCGGCAAGCTATGGGTACACACATTCACCCCCAGACAGTCCGTAGACGTCTCCATGCAGCAGGTCTACATGCCCGACGTCCGGTTGTAGGCGTTTTTGTCATTTGGAACGTTTCACCCCTACCCTACAATGTGTAACGTCAGCTTGACGTCCTGGATTGAACCCGTCTTTTGACACTTCCATTGTGCGGTCAAATGGTCACTCTATTCCTATGCGTAATGAATTATAACATCAAGCGTTACTTGTTGAAAATTAAATATAATTTCCAAAAATGTGCTAAACTTTTGTTGTTCAGTATATGTTTTAGTGATTTTTTGTTTATATCTCAAATCACATCAGGCACTCTCATTTTGAAAGTCCACTTTTCTTCGCAGCAACCCCAGCACACACAACGCGAAGAGGTCGACAGATTTGATACTTTGGTCTTTCCTGTCAAGCCATGCTATAACTGGAATATCATTTAAGGTGGTGAAACACAAAACTCACTCATCCTTGTTCCTGATGAAAGCTCGAACCATGGAGGCACATAATTAAAAAGATGACTCCATGTTTGTCGCAGTTTTATTGATTTCCCTTTTCAGTGCGACTGAACTGGCAATGTTGTTAGCTGATGGACGATAGCCCTATATCGTTTGTATATTTATCAGATGCGAAAACAAGGATTCCTACACATTGATGGTCTGGAACCATCAGAAAGGATGCTGGAACAGGCCAAGAAAAACAACTTATATGAGAGATATATCTGTGACATTCTTGCTGACAAGACTCTGGACATTGCTGACGGTGAGAGTAGAAACGCTTGAGGTAGACACTGTTTCACTACATGAGGTAGACACAGACACCAGAAGTACATACAGCCGGCTTCGTTGAGAGGTCTACAGCGCAGATAGAATACATTGGTAGTTGATGTGAAAGAATATTTGTTAACATGAAGAAAATATCATCTTTCTGTCAACAGCATCGAGTACAATATCCTCTGTATCTGAAACATATTAGGACGTGTGTGGAATTTTACAACAATTTGATGCCCGGTTCTAATTATTAATGTGTATGATTCCGAACAGATCAGCACCACTAAATGAAGACTTGAATGGTCAATTCTTTTACCGCATCTCATGGTCATTTCAAAACTAGTGCAGACTTCCTTTTTGTGAGTTGCCCATACATGTCTTTTACCCGATATTACCAACATTCCTTGTTTTTTGCAGACACATATAATATAGTGACTGTGGTCGGTCTCAGCTCTGAAATATTCTCTACATTGCCCATCAAGGCATTCGAGGAGCTGGTGCGTATCACGAAATCAGGTAAAATCAAATAGTACAGATTTTTCTGAGTGGCGTAAACCCTATATTTCTTATGAGGTATCCATGTGGGTATCAGATTCAGATTCAGATTCAGTTTATTCGGTAATTCTGGCCTTAAGGCCTACATTACAATTGTTGATGTTACAAAATACTATGCAAGTCACGTGAACATATGGTTACATTCATGGTTACATTTATGGCTACGCACAGTGAAAACATGCTTGAGATAAATTGCTACAGACTCTCCAGTCATAATATTCTTAGAATTTAACAAATTGGACAGTGAATGTTTGTCTATTACAGTGTTTGAAAGAAATGGCGTTTTTCGCAAACTTAGATACTTGGTGTATACAAACATGACATGGAACTCATCCTCTATAGCACCTGTAGTACAATTAGAACAGATCAAATCATTTTTACATTCTGTAGAAATACCATGCTTACATGCTCTATTTACACAGAAATCACGAAAACCAATTCTTAATTTACATAAAGCTCTTATCAAAGATTTATCATGAAAATTTTAGATATACGATTCTGGTTCTAGCAACGACTTATGAGAGGCATAATATTCTAAATATCTAGAAGTACTAATGGACATAGACCACTCTTGAATGAAAATATCACATATGGGTATCGATCGACCATTGTCAATATTTCTCTTTACTGTCGTCTAGGAGGCCATATTCTGATGAATCATTACGACTACATCTTCCAAAGAGATGTCCTCCGTGCGAACCTCGCCATTCTTGAGGACAGAGGACTGTGGAAACTAGAGGACAAGCAAATTAAGCCCAACACCGCCCACGGGTTTACTGGTCATTTGCACGTTTATAACGTTTTGTAGTCCAACACCAAGAGAAAACTCAATTCTTTCACGAGTGACTTGCGTTGGTTAAATGGTGTGTATTGCAGGCAGGGTAATGACGTGTGTTAACGTGATATGGACTTCAACCCTAGACCTTCACCTTTCTCTTTTTTAGGCCGTCACATATAGTTATTCCTTAGAGCTGTCAAGCATCAGTGAAATGGAACCGCACCGTCCAGATGATCTTATCATGTCTTTGTTTTTTAATTGAACCTAACTCAAGGTAGCGTCTATAACATTAAACATGAACTGTACTGGTGATTTGGGAATATATTCAAAGAAGACTTCTGCTTCGATTCAATTTTCAAAATATAATAGGGTCTTTGAAACTTAATGAACTTGTGTTTTGGAGTATTTACATTAACAACGTTTCAAACACTGTACTGGTTATGTGGCTCCAAATTCATTTTAACCCCAAGTCTTCACTGAAACATCAAATTCCCCATCCACAGATTACGTTTAACACACTGTGGCAGGTATGAGTGATGGTTATATTGTTATGAGGGTGTGGTTTTGTTAATGGTGATGTCACATTGATATACTTTTAGTTATTATGGGTCACACAATTTTAGCGCTGCGTGTGGATTTCAACTAACACCTTGAACTTAGTATTTTCACCTGTTAAGAGTAAGTTAGAGTTACATCCCCTTCGTTTTGCTTCCGGTGGACGCTGTAGCTATGGGAGGAATTCAGTAATTTCTAAAAAGTGGTCGTGTGGCATGGCGGTTGTAAGAAAAGTCTAGAACTGTATAATAGGTACATAAGGGATGGTTGCTTAAGTGTATGAATGGACTACTGCTTTGAATATACGCTTATCTGTCTGCTAACATTGACGTTTCAAGACTGAGCTCTCAACTGGCCTCGTCCACATTGAACTTTCAACAGCTGTCAACAATCTTCAATCAGTACATCTTTTTTTCTGGGAATGTCAACACTTTTGTGAGTTAATATTTCAGATTTCTGATCCAAAAGTATTGTACTAGAAACCTGTACTGTCATTCATTGTACCGGTGTTTATTCATTACACAACTGAACATTATAGACATCCTCGTCTGTGGTTATATTTTGCTGGTTTAAAGGGGACTCACAAGCCTTTATCACTGTAATTTCCAAACTGTAACAATATGAAGTTAAATATGGGTTTTTTTTTGTAGTTCTTCAAAACCTCTCTAAAATCGGCTTTTTGTGACACAGTCTGAGTCTTGTGCGAGTCTGAATCATGATCTCGTTGAAATGAACAAACTTCATTTCTAATTGATATTAACACACCTGATAACTTTATTATTGTTTATTATTGTTGACAGTTATTATTTATTACCCAATTGCTCTTGCCATTTGTTTCCGGCTGTAGACTTTCAGAGACTAGTGTGACTACTTAGCAATAGACATACAGTGCGTGTTGTTGTATATTAACTCGGCCTTCGGCCTTGTCAGTAAGATGATTGTGGTTAGCGTTGCATATTGATGTTGGTGTCAGAGGGCAATTTTGAATAAAAACTTATACTTATCTGCTTGAGTATGTTATTTGTTAGTGCTGACTGCTACCCAATGACGACAACAGGTAAACTATGTAAACAACAAACAGTTTAACATGGACAATCCAGGGAGTATACAAACTTAAAGTCAACTGTCTCTTTCTTTATCCCTCAATGTCAAGCACAAGGCATGGGAACAACAAGTACCAACAAGTACAACCTCTGACAATTGCACTTACATGTCCTCAACCCGGAAATGGCGGGTGCTAACGGTGGGTCTGGACATGCTTTTCCTTTCCGCAAACAGCTGGTGTCATGACTGATGTTCAGTGACTAATTCCAATTATTTTCAATGCTACTTTCCCACTTTACACCAGATAACTAATGTTGCTTCAAATTAGTTGCGTGATGTTAAATTATAGGTAAATCATGCTTGATAACAAAATGTGTCAGTTGTCCAGCTGTTGCTAGCCCACTGAAATGCAATTGGCAGTTTACCATGTACAACCCGCAGCGTATGTAAGCTCAGAGCCGACTGTCCCTTTCGATCACCAGACATGGCAAGTATCATCTTTTAACGTCTTTGGGTATGATGCTACCGGGGATAGAACAACCATAAACAGTTCGTTATGTTGGCAGATGATTAATCACTAATAATCAAAAGTATCTGCCTGTCGGTATTCCTCTGGTGTGTGCATGTGTGTGTGAGTGCTCGTACGTGCATGCATCCGTGCGTGCAAGTGTGTGTACAACAAAAACATCAATCCTAGGCGGGGTTAGCTTGAGGGACGACCACACTTTCTGTAACCATTGAATAAAGAAGGACCCAACCAGATTAGGATTGTTGGTCTGTCTTTTGGTTTGATAGTACTGAGGCGCTCTCGTGTTTACCTTGCCTGTACTCCTTACTGTTGTGTTTTCGATTGACCAAGAAGTAAGCGTTGAGGAAATGCAAATTTTGCGCCTGGCATCAGTGTGTCTCTTCCAAACAGAAGGCATCAGCAGAAAATGGTCACAGCATATACTAAATTGATGGGATGGCACTGTTGGTGTAGAGTATAATGTAAAATATGATAACTACATATTATACCTGATTAAATGAATTCTACTCACCCACATAGTGGTGTTCTTTAGAAATCTGGCTACATTGACAGGAACCGTCATCTGAGAAGAATGAAGAAAAGACTGGAGGAGAAAATGATGTTTTAAATTGAATACACAATGCTATTTAGAAAGTGGTCAAATGTAACATATGTTATATTTGGGATTACACTTTCTTTTGAAGTACAGATTCTAACTAGAATCTGCACTTTACTAAGAGAGAGTTCCGGATTATGTCCTGCTTGAATCATTCCAGAAATATAGAGAAGGTGATTTAGCCATTTTCAGTGAGAACACATTACCCGAACTAATAACAATATTTATCATATAATCCCTGCATTCATACTTTATTTTCTACCATAAATTAGATATATATAACATATTAGCTTGTCAGCCTATTTCTGGTTTACAGCCACAAAAGCATTACCTGAATTATATTTCAATTAACAAAATGAAATTACCCAGGCATAATTCAAGACAGCTGGTCATAATTGTCAGTCATGACTTATTGTATTATGACGCATTTCGAGTCGGGGTCATCTAAAAAATGTTTTTTTAATCTTTAATCCTCGCAAACACACGATGGCCTGTGCACGTGTGGCATCAAAATTTACAGAACATGCTGGTGGTGTTTAGCAAGGGTAAAAAGAGACGAGAAAGACGTCACATTGATATGATCTGATCATCTAATGGGTCATTCCCCCATGATTGATTTATGTCCACATACATAAACTGGATATGCTTGAACACTCAGTGAGAAATACTGAAGCAAACAGTACAACTCGGATAAATCAACAAAGCATAGCGTGCAATATAGTAGATTTGAATGACGTTGGATAGTCTGCTAAAATAGCTGAAATTCAAAGGTGAGATAGAATATGTTCATGCATATATCGGTGAACTGCGTGAAGCTAATATTGATCTGCAGAAGACAGATTGGATCAAATCTTATGTAAAATATCAAACCAGAAGTAAAATATGAAAGTTGTAGATACACGTTATCACCAATCTGTCTCTAAAATTTAAAAACAAACACACCCGCCGATGTTACCATTGACAGAGTTCATATAATGGGGCCATCCAAACCATGTGAAATAGAACCAGTAGAGGCTAATTTCCCAAACTAAACTAAAGATTAAATCAAATAACATAATAACACAGATAACAAAAATCTGCAAGGTTCAAAGGACTCTCCGATTAGTCTCCTAAGGTAGTTTTAGATCGATGACGTCAATTGATAACACCAATACATCTACGGGTCTACAAATTGATAGCCGAAGGCAGAGTGTGGGATACTCCCTATGGAGTTCAGCCTGAAGAAATGTTTCCAAGTTATGGCGACGATTACCCCAGTTGAACTAATTGACAAAGCAAATATAAATCGGTTCTAAGACTCGACGATGTTATGATTGACCGAGTAAATTACCCCCAGTTGAACAGAGGGACCAAGCAAATATAGGATACTAAAGAGGATCTACGCCATGTTTATGTAATTCCATTATAATATACGCATAAATACCCCCACCTGTCACCTCGCTATTGTAACCAAACTGTATATATCATTTATGGAATAGAACGACCATGTTAATCAAATATCGTCAGCATTTCCACTTTGAGAATGCGATCACGCAAATGATACATGCCCTTGTACTAAAGTAACTTTAATAGGGAATATGTTGTTATTATAAGTACCTCATTCAGTACCGCCATGAGCTCACATATATCATTTACATATATTCAATTTACATCAGTTGATGAGGTCTTCCAAACGGTTAAATATCTGTACGAGTAATGCTATTATGCTACACGAAACAATGGAAAAGAATCGTCTTTTCGTTAAAAAACACACCGACGCAAAATATCAAAATATCCAATATTAAATATTATCATTGATATCGGGTCAAATGTCTTTGTTACTGGCGTCCAAAACTTGGTCGAAATCGGCGAAATTAATTAATGGCAGTCATTGTTCAAAGAATATTTAATTGTTCCCTACTTTCTTTGGAGACTAAAATTTGGAAGCCTTTAACTCTGTCATTACTTCTTGGATTATACATCTGTCTTTCTATTCTCTGGATATTCCTATTTCAAGACAGGATTTTCTAAACCTGGATAGTAATTCATATTTTCATTCCACGTCATGTTATATTACATTGTATTATCATCAACTACTATACATACAACTTTCCACTAGCAACATTATATCGACTTTGCAATTGAAACGTGTCTTCTTGGTGTCAGTTCTTGGTGTCTTTGTAAATTTGTTCCATTCTATGATTCTTTCATGTTTATGTTGTATTTACTCTTCTTTTCGCACGTAGCTATCGACGGGTAGTCCTAACCTAGTGACAATACTTTTGTATTGTACCAAACTGGCTTTTAATCGTAGAGTAAGTGTGTTTTTAATTTATGGCTAGATTTCTCTTCTGTCGCCAATGGCTGAAGGGATGGTGTAAATCCAACTAGGGTCCATGCAGGTAGCAAAATTAATGTAAGTCCCCATGGTCCCTAGTATGGTGATCTCCCTTCAGTTGTTGGCGATCTATAGCCCATTTTTACATTGTATTGTCTTCTTTAATTGGAATATTTTAGCTTTGTTCGCTAGTTTTATATTGATAGCTGTGATTGTCTAGTATTTTTACTGTCCTTCGTCGGCAGGTTTTTATAATAACTATATATATTCTATTACAATGTCAAATGTTCTCGTCACGATATGGCTGAAATATTGCCGATGTGACGTTAAATAATAACTCACTCACTCACTCACCAAACTGGCAGATCGTTTTTTCTAACAGTTTTTCCATTCCCCTGATGATCATGCAGATATAGTGTGTGATAGGAAGATATGCCAGCACATAATGAGAGAACAATACACCGGCGGGACACAGTGAGATGGAGAGCGCACAATAGACACACACTGAGATGGAGAGCGCACAATAGACCCACACTGAGATGGAGAGCGCACAATAGACACACACTGAGATGGAGAGCGCACAATAGACACACACTGAGATGGAGAGCGCACAATAGACACACACTGAGATGGAGAGCGCACAATAGACACACTGAGATGGAGAGCGCACAATAGACACACACTGAGATGGAGAGCGCACAATAGACACACTGAGATGGAGAGCACACATGAACAACACTGAGATGGAGAGCGCACAATAGAGAGCGCACAATAGACCCACACTGAGATGGACACTGAGATGGATGGAGAGCGCACAATAGACCGCACACTAGACACACACACTGAGATGGAGAGCGCACAATAGACCCACACTGAGATGGAGAGCGCACAATAGACCCACACTGAGATGGAGAGCGCACAATAGACCACTGAGATGGAGAGCGCACAATAGACCCACACTGAGATGGAGAGCGCACAATAGACCCACACTGAGATGGAGAGCGCACAATAGACCCACACTGAGATGGAGAGCGCACAATAGACAACACACTGAGACACACACTGAGATGGAGAGCGCACAATAGACACACACTGAGATGGAGAGCGCACAATAGACCCACACTGAGATGGAGAGCGCACAATAGACCCACACTGAGATGGAGAGCGCACAATAGACCACACTGACCACACTGAGATGGAGAGCCGACCCACACTGAGATGGAGAGCCACAATTGAGACGCACACACTGAGATGGAGAGCACAATAGACCCACAAGATAGATGGAGCACAATTGAGATGGACAGCACAGCATGACCCACACTGAGATGGAGAGCGCACAATAGACCCACACTGACGCACAATAGACCCACACTGCGCACAATAGACCCACACTGAGATGGAGAGCGCAAATAGACCCACACTGGATGGAGAGCGCCAATTCACGGACACACACTGAGATGGAGAGCGCATAGAACACTGATAGACAAGCTGGAAATCCCACACTGAGCAAAGTGCAACAAAGTCAACAAAGACACAGCGGGAAGCTTCTGTCATAAGATGACCAATAGACACAATTGACCAATAGACACAATTGGAGGCGAAATAGGGACACACTATAATGGACATTAGACGCAACAGGAAACGCACAACAGACATAATAACTGTCCTTGAAACATTTCTGCCGGAAGATATATGTGTTCTAGCATTGAATTAATTTGCCAGGTAAGCAAATGGGGCTTCTACAAAGGAAGGATTTATATGCTGACATTGACCAGTGTGTACGGTTATAGCGGCCTAGTATTTGGTAGGTCATATGGAAAATTTACGGAGACTGACCTGAAAGGCTCAGTGGAAAACTTCCTCCCGCGTGACCTGATTGTGACGGGCGTTGTGGTAGGCCTGTCACGAGCGACCTGATATCAGACAGAACGTGACCTCTTCATTAGTATTCATTCTAGGTCAGCAGCATTGATTATACAATCAGCTGGCAGTTAGTAGTTCAAAATGTGTGAAGCACTTCATTTGGGCTTTCAACGATCAATTCAAAGATCAGTGAGATTTATCACTCGCACTCATAAAAAGCTCACTCAGCAATTTTGTTTCAGCTATCTTCTTTAAGTAATTGTAATATCGCGTGTTTCTATTTACAGTGGCATAGACAAGAGATATATTTCAAGTAAAGTTGCTGTTTCTATAGGTACAAGTACCTTTGCAATCTACCCAAATTTGCGGAAAACAATCATCATCGTTATCATAATTATATTTATAATCATCATCGTCATCATCAAGTCAAGCAAGGAAGTCTAGATTTGTGACAATTTCAGAAACCCTCATGCATTGCTCTTTACGACAGGTTGTACAAACATTATTTCCTAATCGTTGCGCTTCACTGCACGACAATATACTGACTGACTGAGTTTGGTTTTACGCCGCTTTTAACAATATTCCAGCAACATCACGGCGGGGGACACCAAAAAATGGGCTTCACACATTGTACCCATGTGGGGATTCGAAACCGGGTCCCCGTCGTGACGAGCCAACGCTTTAACCATTAGGCTACCCCACCGCGCCGCACGACAATGTATGCACACGTGATCGCTGTGCTGATATCCTGGAACTGAGTGCACTAAGCGCAGTGTAACTGTAGCCCACTCCATCAGGCTCAACGATCACAAACGGGAGGTGACATTCCACAGCTGCCGCAGCGCTGTAGGCAGATCAGCTGAGACAACTTGACTATCCACATCAGCAACACACTCAGAGAAACAGGTAAGAAGATAGCGGGTCCGTTTAACTGAGGTTCTCACATAATTGCCATAGAGCTTGGTGAAATGAAATGTAGAATTTAATCATATTGAATCATAAGTCAGTGAATTGGAAACATGCGCTTTGAGTAGGATTAAAAAAGCCATGCTGTAAGTGAAATCGACATGCTTACGGTGTATATTTACCATTACACAATACAGTATTTGATCATGAAATACTCGTGTTATGTCCTCTCTCTCTCTCTCTCTCTCTCTCTCTCTCTCTCTCTCTCTCTCTCTCTCTCTCTCTGTTTAATGCCAAGTTCTAAAAGTGTCGGTCTGTCGATCTCCCTCTCGTTATGTCTGTATGTCTGTGTATATGTGTGTGTGGTGCCGTGTCTTTCTGTCTGCGTGTAGTTCATCGACCGACCGGATAGACACTCTCTATCCACCAGTGAGTGAAGGTCGTTACATATAGAATTTCAGTTCGACATGTCTTGTATGATGGCCGATACAAGAAACACTGTTTCGATACTAAAACAGTAATATATAATTTTTTATCATGAAATACCAGAACCTATTCACTACTATCTTCAGGTGAGAGGTTATATATTCTAAACATTTCTTCCACGGGCAAAGTTTGAAATGGTAAGAATCTCAACTCTTCTCTCTGGAACACACACACCTCCATGCCTAAACCTCGGCATGAAATATAGAAATATAATTTTTTTAAACTTTAAAATTAAAATAAATTTGTAAATACCATTTTTTTATGAAACAAGTAATTGGAATTTAGTGTAAACACAGGTGTTTGTAGTATCTCTTTTCACATTCACACGAGAAAATTCGGATTGGGTGAAAAGTAGGTCATTGTCTGAATTGGTTAATGAGACTCATGTTTCGGTTTGCAAAACATGACTCCCATGTTTCCTATTCCCATGTATAACCACCTGGAAATGGCCTGCCAATGAATTATGATAAGGTGTGTCTAACTATTCATTCATACCATTCAAGTATTATCATACCACTCTGTTTAAAGCCGCTTTATATTTAATTCACTCGCTAACTCAAACGTTTCTTTTTAACTTTGTTGGTACAGTCGCAAAGATGACGGACACATACTCCGAAGAAGAAGTGAAAGAAGCACGAAGAGAGTTTAATTTATTGATAGAAAAGGGCCTGAATATTGACACAGTTATTAAGAGATTCGACCACATAAGTGACAAGTACGATATGGTAAATATACCCCAGTCTAAGTAACGTAAAGCAGATCATTTTCCATATATACCTACTTGCAATAATTAAGGACTTCCAGTTGTTACTTGTATATACAGTATATCACTAGGATATTATCTATTTGACTAAAATAGCCCGATAGTTTCAAGGTTTGTAAAGCCATCTTTCCAATCTCTATCAAACGCATAAAATCTAAGATAAAAATATCGACATAATGATACGACGAGTCCGATGAAATACTGATGGTCCTCGTACCGTTTTATAGTTTATGTACCTTCCATATGAAAAAATATGAATAACACATTCAGCAAGTGTTACGTTATTAGTACGAATAACGGTAAAATATGAAAGATGAATGTGAAGCCTGGTTTAAGTACAATTTCCTTTTCTGTACATACATGCTTGAAGGTGGTTCTTCAAATGTTGTAGACCTGTGAAGATCCGGATTAGTCTTCAGTAACCCACGCTTGTCGTAAGAGACGACTAACGGGATTGGGTGGTCAGGCTCGCTGACTTGGTTGACACATGTCAACGTATCCCAATTGCGTAGAACGATGCTCATGCTGTTGATCACTGGATTGTCTGGTCCAGACGCGATTATGTACAGACCGCCGCCATATGGCTGGAATATTGCTGAGTGCGGCGTACACCTAAATTCACTCACTCATTCAAATGGTGTACATTCCTCAGGTGTTGAGTATGATGGACTACAAATTACCAAAATGGTTGGGAGACAGTCTTGCATCCTTGTATCCTGGCAACAAGGAGGAGGTCAACATCCTGGACGTTGCTGCTGGAACTGGGCTGGCGTCAGTCGAGGTAGGTGTTGCATCATTTGTTTTCTGAGATTACAGATGTTGGTGTGATCACAGTCTGAAGATGAATATTTCCGATTCACCATGGGCGAGATTTTGTACCATCGCCGTAAATTAGCCGAATTAAGTCAAAATAAGTTGAATTTTGTGTTGTGATACTTATATACATACTTTCATTCATTTGCAACCTCTAAAACATGGAAAAACATGTATTTTGAGTTAAAGTAAATATTTTCGCCCATGGGCGAGATTTTTTAACATTGCTCTAAATTAGCCGAATTAAGTCAAAATGAGTTGAAATTTGTGTCATGATGTTTATAAACATACACTCATTCATTTACATCCTCCAATACATGAATTCTGAGCGAAACTAAACATTCTCGCCCATGGGCCACTGTTCGCCGGCCCATGGGCAAGCGACTTTAAATTTAAAGTTTTCTAAAAAAATGTTTTTCAATTTTTCATCCTTTGCATGTATTCATAACAACAACATGTTTAATTTTGTCGAATCCCTTGTCAGAAAGTGTCCACAGTGCGGAGAGTTTCTGGACTTTCGTGATTCATGAATTAAATTGTTACGTGCAAAGTAAGTGACACACACACCCCTGCAAGCTGCATGTCATGTACCAGAACGAAATGGGTGACCCCCACCCCAACCCCAGCCATAAATTATGAAGGTCTCTTACAGTTAGAGCCGCATTATGACCACGACCTCATATTGTCCAACTTTAGCCTGTGTTTGAACCAAATACACAACAAGTGCAATTTCGATTCCCCACATAGGTACAGCGTCTGAAGCCCATTTCTGGTGTCTCCCAATATATATTACTGGAATATCACTAAAACGATAACTCACTCATTCATTATACGTACAGATTCGGAAATTTAATATCAGTAGAAAATACCATTCCTCATAAGAAGAATTAGACCAACACTTTCTAAATACAATGACTTTAATATTCATACACGAGCATGAAAACCGGAATTTGCCTTGGTCCCTTTACAAAGGTATTGTAGACAGTTGGTTCAGATTACCTGTGTTATAATTGTAGATGAGGAAACATGGATTCACGCACATTGATGGTCTGGATCCGTCTGAGGGGATGTTGGAACAGGCCAAGAAAAACAACTTGTATGAGAGATATATCTGCGACATGCTTGCTGACAACACCCTGGACATCGCTGACAGTAAGGCCCATCCTTTTTGAAAACCTGTGACGTTTCGCCCCGTATAAATCTTTTATTCGTTTACTTCTTGGCTTCATTGCAGCATGGTTCATGAATCCATTTCTGGCTACTAATCAGTATCATTATTTGTTAATTAGATACATTGTGTTCATTTCAGATACATACGCGGTAGTGACAATCGTCGGCTTCAGTTCCGAATTCTTCAAGGTACTTCCCGTCAAGGCTTTGGAGGAGCTGGTGCGTGTCACGAAACCAGGTGAGCGAGTAAATGACTAGCTGACCTCACTGACTGAAATCCAGCAGGAAACCACATAGACTATATATTTCAAATCCAATCTGGGGGAAAATGTGACAAGTGTGGTTCTCCTTCTCACGTCCACATACCCATGAAGATCCGGGTTAGAATTGATCTTCAGTACCCATTCTTGTCGTAAGAGGAGACTAACGGGATCGGATGGTCAGGTTGGTTGACACATAATTGCGTAGATTGATGCTCATGCTGTTGATCACTGGATTGTCTGGTCCAGACTCGATTATTTACAGACCACCGCTATATAGCCGGAATATTGCTGAGTCCGCTGTTAAGCAACAAACCAACCAGCCAACCAACTATCGTAACGTATGTTTACGTATGGGAGTTACGCTCATCGTTGCGCTAAGAATCCTTAAGATTGCTTAAGGATCTTGACCAAAGTGGAGACAACATACAGCCTCCTTTTAACACTGAATACCACAGGGATGTAGTCATTTGACTGTATGTGTTCTCTCTGTTCCTTGTATCTTCAGGAGGCCACATCTTGATGACTCACTTTGACTACATCTTCGAGAGCAACGTCCTCCGTGAGAATCTCTCCAATCTCCAGGACCGTGAGCTGTGGAAACTTGAGGACAAGAAAATTATGCCTGAAATTGTAAAGGGGATAAATGGTCATCTGCATATATATAAAGTCATGACGAAATGAAAGACAGTGCAATTATATAATTTCCTTGCTGAACTTATGTTTTCCACGAGTCGCAAGTGTTGTTGTTGACTGTGGCGTTATATATCATGAGCTATTTAGTTGGTCATCTTTTTTTAAAGCTCTATTAAGTTTCGGTTGAAGGTTGGACTCTTATTCGTTCAATATCTCAATGTAATTGCTAGTTGACGAATGTAATGTGGTCGAAGTGAAATGTTGAATTACATTTCAAACCTGGTAAATATAAACTTCTTGACTATGTGCACTTCTTACAAGAGGAGGGCGAGAGGTAGAGGCCTGGAGACTGGAATATTGTTTCCGTCTATACCTGAGTTCAAGTAACACAAAATACCTTCACAAATTTACAATCACTATTTATTACAATCTAGGGCCAGAGGTATCAAAGACCTGTCTACCACCCAGGCTCTATATAAATATTGTTTGACGGTAGATGGAATGTTGAGAGATAGGTGTGGTATAACTTAGATCTATGGCGGGTTGATGATTGTGAAGTCATCCAGATTCGTCAGAGAATACAACCAGAAGACCGATCCCGACCTCCCCCAAAATATTCTGTGATACTGGCAGCAACATCACGGATGTTATCAACTTTATACTATCCGGTACCACTCCTCAGTGTCTGTATTCAGGGTGCAACCTGCCAGCGTCTATGACTGTAGCAACACTCTTCTTTGGACTGTTGGGTAGTGTTTCTCTTGCACAGTAGAATCGTATATCTCTTCGACTATCCCGGATCTGAATTTTACCATGAATATGTAGACTCCGTGGATCAATCTTCCAACTTGGATATGAAATCTATAAAGGAAATGAGTCCGACCGCGGATCTGCGACCCACGACGGATCTGTGTCCAGCTGCGGAGATATGGTTTATGCACAAAAGACTATACCCAAATTTGATAATGGAAAAAAGCCAAGTTGACCTTTGATATACAGTGTATATTCTTGAATAAACAAAATATGCATGTTGCTTTTGTGCTCATAACAACAAGTAAATACATGCTGCTGCATTACATACGTAGAAGGGCTACCTCTTTTATGGACCGGTCCACATATACAAGTTGACAGACGGTTGCCGATTTCTCTTTGCAACGAAGGCACAAACTGACTACGGACAGTTTGTTTGTGACGAACGACAGAATTAACAATAGGGACCGTTCATAATTTATGGCTACGGGGGATGGTGATGATTTTTATGGAGAAGCATGTGCAATGTCAATGTCCCTCCCTATAATTCAAGTATAAAGTAAGTGACCCCTGCCATAAATATTAACCGTCTCCTAGCAGATCAGTTTGCTGCAAATTATTTAATTTAAATGTGTCTCCGTGTACTCGTACTCAACAAGCATCTATGCCACGCGTCCCACCTATATATACTGAGTCAAAAAAGAAACTTCACATTCTTTCTTCAGGGCACTATAAAAGAACAAGAGATGGTAAGATGGTTAAATTGTTATTATTTCATTGCTGAGATCTGTGTGATGTACTCGATACACTGACAGTGCCATAATCAGTTCCATTAGGCTACACCGCCGTTCCAAAACATGGGTATACAGAATGTCAAGTCACAAGAATAAAAATGCGAAATTTCTCAGTTCAATATCGTGTATGGCCGCCCCGCGCATTCACCACTGCCAAACACCGTCTCCTCATCGACTGCCTGATGCTTGTGAACACGTGGTTGGGGATTCTGCGCCATTGCTCTTGCAAGGCAGCCCCAAGTTCCTGCAAATTATGAGGTTGGTTCCAAAGACCACGAAGCCTTCTCCCAAGTGCATCCCAAACGTGCTCTATTGGATTAAAGTCAGGGGACCTCGATGGCCAGTCCATGACGTTGATTCCAGCGTTTTGAAGGAAATTTCGTGTCAACATCGCGGTATGCGGCCGAACATTATCATGCTGGAACTGTAGACTTGGGCCATGAGCCACCATGAAAGGAACGAGTTCAGGGGTGAGCACCTGGTCACGGTAAGCAGCAGCTGTGAGGTTTCCACGGATGACCAGAAGTCGGGAACGGTTGTTCCCACAGAAAGCACCCCACACCATGCAACTTCCGCCCCCGAATCTGTCGACTTCCTGTACACAACATTGGGTATACCGTTCACGACGTCGTCTCCAGACTCTAATCTGAGGGTAAACCTGGATTCATCGCTAAAGACGACTCGATTCCAGTCTCTCTGGGTCCATCGGAGGTGACGTTGGGCCTACAGCAGACATTGACGTTGATGAAACGGCGTCAATATTGGCCCACGATATGGACGTCGAGAATGGAGATTGGCAGCCCGCAACCGATTTCGAATGGTCTGTGAGGACAGTCGACCTCTAAACATCTCAGCCCTGGTTCGTGTAGCCGGCAGAAATCTGTCACGTAGGTGACGTAGGACGATTTGACGGTCTTCTGCTCGTGACGTCACACGTGGACGACCCGACCTTGGGCGATCAGAAGTGGTGCCAGTTTGTTGTAGACGACCTCGCAAGTCATACACAGTACGACGGCTGCATCCCATTGCTCTTGCGACGTCAATAACTGATCTTCCCGCTTGCAACATGCCAACGGCACGTTCACGTTGCACATTTGACAATCGTGGCATTTCAAGTACCGTTAGAACTGTGGTTTAAAAGTGTTTTTTTCAATTCTTGAGGCCAATGCAAACACGTGCATATGAAGAAAACTTCGATGCGAAGATCACGTGATCGACTGCACGTGCAAAACCTGATTTGGGACTAACGTCATTTGCACGACGTATGGATGGGTTTGAGTGGGTTTTGCTAACGTTTTTCTAGAGTCGAAAGATAGGGATCCCATTTCGGATACATAGATGTATCATCAGAGAAAAATTATTCATTATTTTTCAAATTACATTTTGTGAAGTTTCTTTTTTGACTCAGTATATAACCGGAAATAGGACATATTTACATGATGCCTTTTCTGTTGGTAAAGAGCGCTGAGCTTGCGTTACGTACCAACAAAGAAACCAGTTTACCTCTTTGTCGCCACGTGCTTTGTAAATCAGGTCAGAAGTTTAGCAAATTAGAGCGTGACACAATCTGTGTCTGGTCTGTTTCTTGTTTCGTGCTGGTGTGTCGTGTTCATATGACATTGTGTAATCGTTACATAACAGATTCATGGATGACTAACACAACATGCCAAATAAGTAACAAATGAAGTTTTGACCATTTCTGATTGTCAACTAATTAGAGATACATAGCATCTCGGATAGGTGACGCTTCGCGCGGTGCATCCAGAATAGCGCCTGACACAAGTCAAACCAGTCGAAACTAGTTTGTAATAACGTCTTTGAGTGAGTGAGTTTAGTTTTACGCCGTCTCAGCAATAATCCGCTATGCAATAATCCAGCTTTATGGCGGCGCTCTGTACATAATTGACAATCCAGTGATCAACACCATGAATAACGTCTCAGAATGGACCCGTGAAGGTCCGGGTTAGAATTGATCTTCAGTATACCATGCTTGTCGTAAGAGGCGACAAACGGGATCGGGTTGTCAGGCCCGCTGACTTGGTTGACAGATGCCAGACTCGATTATTTACAGACCGCCGCCATATAGCTGGAATATTGATGAGTGCGGCGAAAAACTAAACTCACTCACTCACTCAGGTGAGGTGAAATTGGGATTTTAAGTCGTGCTTGAGAATATTTCACTCATATGACGACGTGCATGCGTGTGTATGTGTATGTGCGGCTGCTTGTACTAGCCCAGACTTAAGCTGGTTTTAGAGTGCTAGCCAACTGAGATACCATGCCGCAGTGAAGCATGAATACACCACTCAGACACATTATACTGACTCCGAGCCGACCAGTCCTTGTTGTACCCATAATGCCGAGCGCCAGGCAGGGACCAACAAGTACCATATTTTAACGTCTTTTGGTATGACGCGGTCGGGAATCGAACCCGCTCTCCGGGCGGACGCTCTGACCATTACACCACGGAGGCGGTCCTCACTCACTCAGAGTGGCATTTAGAGGTTGGTGTGGTGCACGGGTGTGTGTGTGTGTGTGTTCTATGGATATATCTTTATTACGATATATTACGGTGTTAGCATCTACATTGAAACGTCGTATTTACTGTATTCTAATTCAACTTAGTATGTAACACGAGTTCTGATTGGTCAGTGCTATAAATTTCCGACCGTATAATCAGCATATACGGTCACAATTTGAAGACATATTCACCAAAACCTTTGAACGTATCCCTACACTATTGGGGTAACGCGGTTTTTCAGGGCATTGTCATTTGCAGAAGCCCTAGATCAACTCCCCTATCCCGCTAAAAAGGATGGAATTTGTGTTAAAAAAGACAAAACAATATCATAAATTTAATTGTAACTTCAAACAACTTACACGCAACGGGCTGTTGACCCAACACTGGTAGATCATGAAACCAGATTTATGACGTCATTATGGAACGTGACGTCACCTGCTGTGACGTCATTTGACAACAGTACCGATATGGGCCCGTAGTTGAGGAATCACCGGGCCATTATCATATGCAGCGACCCGCTCATTTCTGATAACTAGAGGGCGGTTTCACGATAATTCCCTCCATTTTAGCTATTATAACGGTAATGCTATTTTTGAGGGCATTATCATTTGCAGAAGCCCGAGGTCTTCCATTAACTGCCTGACGAAGGAGGGCAGTTGAAAAAGCCCGAGGACTTCTGCAAATGATAATGCCCTCAAAAATAGCATTACCGTTATTATTGCTAAAATACATGGAATTTGTGTTGAAAGGAAAAAGGAAACAATGAAGGAATTTGACTGTAAGTTTACCCAAATCAACTTCTGACGGGGTCGACTGCCCGAATGCATTTACGTCATCGAACAATTCAAGTGACGTCACAACAGAAAGTACGATATTCGACCTTGGCCTTTGACAAGACCATAGCCTGCAACATGTCAAACTATGTCAGTGTTCGGTTTTGGTCCTTCAACAGCCTTAATAGTGCAATTGTTAAGGTTAGCACCAACAAGAAAGCCAATATTACCGCTATTTAAAGCGGGAATTCGGGTTGCTTTGACTTGTTTGACCCAGAATATCTGCCAGTCGAAAGCCAATTAATGTCGAATGAACCGTAAGCCCACGCACCCACTATGACGTCACTTGACAACAGAACTGATAGTGGCCCGTCGTTAAGGTTGAGCAGTCCAATATCATTTGCAGCGGCCCGCAAATTTCTGTTAATGGGAGGGCCGTTTCATGATAATTCCATGTATTTTAGCTATAAAACACTATAATTTATTCATCATTGTCAGATTTAGTCAGTGTGCACATAATAAACGTGTTGAAGTTTGAAAGGAAACTACTTTTTCTGGCGATGGTGTAAGTTCAAGGAGTGATATGATTTACCTTTGACCTTGAAACACTAAGACTTGGTTTAAATAATGAAGTTCTTTCACGAAAAAACAGCGTACAATGAGTTGAATTAGAATGGGGATAACTGTACTGTGTTTAACGAATTGGGGACGTATACCGGTGGTTATATAGCCGAAAATTTAGGTATATCGGCGACGCGTAATGAAGAAGCTCAATAGAACCTTCCCCCTTGTTAATCCCATAGAAATAGTTCTCTATTGAAAGAAAGAAAGAGCAGAACGGGGACTGTAAGTACAACTTGGGGCTAAGTAAAACGTCGAGGGTGACAAGGACTACCCACCTGATTGATGGGAGATGAAACGGTCGGAGGGGAGGTACAACTCGGACCATGTAACCTTTAACAGAAGTACAGTATGGCTTGCTTAGTATGGGAATAGTAGGTCTGAGTAGAATGGGCAAAAAGGTACAGGCGTTGTCAACTGTCACTAGTAGATTGGCATATAGTTGATTATGTATTCATAAGAGGTTATAGGGCTTATGACATCTTAAAGACGGTTTAGTGAAACAGTCACGATCTGGAATTTGATGAATGCTTTAAATAATTTGACAAGCTCGGGGGATAAAACGACGTGCAAAATCTGGAGTCGGGGTGAACTGTTTGCGGGACACAATTAGATAGGTCAGAGTTCACTGCGCTCCCGGAAGCCCTTTACAGAACGTTTGTTATTTTAAATGTTTCTATGTATAACTAAAGAAAGGTCACTATACGTATTTAGAAGTTGGCAGTTTCTGCTCGGCTGCTACCTGGGAGAGAAGCTCCAGGTAAAAGAACCTAGACACATAGTAACAGGTGAGGACGTTATTCCAATTTCCAACAGTTTAATATCTTCATCACGCAAGCATTCCACGAACCGCAAGAAATAAATGAATATGGCCTGAGCTGTAACAAGCTGGAAAGCATGAACAGCGAGTAATGTCGACCCTGGTGCCCATCTATAGGCGGATCCAGAGGAGGGCCCCCTTTGCCCTGAAAGTTTATTAAATGACCATTGAAACTCGGATGAAAATTAAGTTTGCACCCCTCCTTTTCAATAGTGTGCACTCCCCTTTCTCAAAAAGCTTTCTCCGCCCCTGGGTAGTTATGACAATGATGACGTACTTAGGACCAGCTGTGTACCTGACTCCCCAACACTACTAAAGATATGTAAAAACACTTGACATGTGTGTGTAAATATCATTGTGTTTAGACATTAAATGCTCACAATATTTACGCATTGAAATTTGTTATGTGTTGGTACAGAATGGTGTTATACGTTGGTCAGGTTGACCCAATCACCCGGTGACCAGGCTGAGATAGGGACTTATATACCGGTAAACGATCCTTAGTAAAGGCACACTTGTTATCGTCATAAAAACATATTAATCAGTGCGAAATGTACTCATTCAGTAGCTCGCCTGTTCAGAATAGATAAACTGTCCCGTCTGTGTTATTTACCGGGACACAAGAAACTAGCACAAGCACGGTTTTCAATGACACACGGTTTGCTCAAACTGATCCTCCACCGGTACAACTACAGGGGAATATTTTAACCTGACATCGTTTGACAACCGCTCCGCTTGACAAGGGTAAGTTCGTTGTGCGTGTATTAGCCGTGTGACTTTTTCTGGCATAATCAAAGCAGGTTCGAGAAAGACATGACTTGACTAGATAGTGCTACACGGGTATATAGCTCGTGGAATAGGGACCTGTTCACTCTTCCAAGACTAAGAACTAAGATAACTAAAGTTTTTTGTATTAACCCTCACACAATTATACACCTTAGGATTTGCACCATGAAATATCTCAAATCAGCCCCGTTCACAAGGCTAAGGCTAAAATAATGACATGAAATATCTTAAACAGCTACGGTCACGGTCATCTGAGGTCAGCCTGACATAAATGACTCAAAGGATTGTGACCTTCAGGAAAGTCCCATGCCACTAACACTCAGTATCAACAAACTAATGCTTCATCTCCTGCTGTGGCATGTTCTACGTCTTTATAACGTTTGTAGCTAGATGATCAAGTCATTTACAATAAGCCACAACTTATATCTCAACCAGAAGGATCTTGAACATGTATACCTGTCGCCTCGTATACTGCGATGCTATGTAAATAAATCTCATAAAGACACGAAGAGACGCGACACATTGAATACATGTTTAATGGATAAAGTAACGCACAAAGATTATTACCTTTAGATGCATAACGTGAACAAAATCCTACTTTGTTATTAAACACCTACACACATCTTTAGATGCACGGTACAACGTACACTATTCACGCTGCTATATAACAGCCTGACCCCAGTTCGACGTTCGGCCCATATTTCAGTAATATAGCTTAAAATTTAGGTCACCCTATATCTCAACACAGCTAAGGGTAAAAAGAGTTCGAGTTAGGTCAAACTGACATAAACGAGGTTTTTAATCTTTGTTAAAACCTGTATATATAGATTCCATTATGCTATATAAGCAGCAACAAAAGGGATGGCCTTTTGGACGAAGTGAGAAGCTCTTAAAGGAATATCGAAATGTTAAAATCCCTGAGAATCCGTTGATGTGGTTAAACTGTGATGTGTTGCAGGCACTGATTATATAGCGTGAAATATAAATACGTAGGTAACTAGATACGTCTTTGTAGTATTCATTCATGACACCAGGTGTTCTATAGCGTCCGGGTAAAAGACTCATGTTCCTGGACACACTGGTTTGTCAGTAAAATCGTGGGAAAACTCGTGGGAAAACTACGCATGATCAAGTGAGTGAGGGAGTATGGTTTTACGTTAGGCAATATTCCCGGCGGGGGACACCAAAAATGGGCTTCACACATTGTACCTATGTGGGGAATTGAACCTGCGTCTTCGGCGTGACGAGTGAACTATTTATATAACCACTTGGCTACCACACCGCCCACGCATACTCAAGTTTGTCTCTCTCAGGCAAAAGTTGTAAATGGATACCTCTCTTTAAATGGCAGAGATAGCGAAATAGAAGAATATAGAAAGGAAAGAGTAGAAATATACCAGCCACAAAGAGAAACTGTGTACACAGGAAATATATGTTAGAAAAACGTATATTTTACGTATATCTAACATTTTTTGCAAGGGATGCGACGTTTCGTTGTTGATGCTAACACCGTTATAAAGCAAGTGACGTCCACGCCGTGACGCAAATCCACCAAATAACGTGCCGTAAATCGTGATTTGGCACACGCCTCCCATGCCCATTGATAGACTCTAGCTATGCGTTGCATTGCTGTTGTTGCTGCTCGCGGTGGACATACAAGATATTGTTGCTTGACCACTGGCCCGCATTTGAAGTCGTAACGTCAATGTCATGGACATAAAACACGCCGTTCTTCACCTATTGAAGTTTACATAGAAACTTTTTATAAGTTAGAAAGAATTTAAATAATGTAGTCTCTTTTTGTGCCTGGTATAGTGAGAATATAAAAGCCATTATATAAAATGTTTTTGGCGGGTATTATGAGGATTAACATGGTTCAGCGTTGGTTTAGGGTCCAGTGCTGAGAATTGAGGCAGAGCGGAGCGTGTCGTGACTATCAAGGTTCAACAGTCCATGTAAAGCTGCAATATTGCTGATGCGACATAAAGCAACATTTACTCTCTCACTGAAACGTTCACGAATGTTACTCTTGAAAATAATCCAACTGTATCTGTTGTTTTGATTGCTAGACACTGAAGATGGCCGAGCCACAGTATACTCCCGTGGAGGTGGAGGAGGGCCAGAGGGTCGTCAACTACATGATGGAGAAGGGCCTGGACAATGAAACCATTGTCAAGCGATTTGATGAAATAAGTGAACAGTACAACAAGGTACACATGACATATCTGGACTCAAGTCACTACGCGACATTGTTCAAATCGGCAGATATTAAGCACTCGTTTGTTAAAGGGCAATATTTTTGCGGGGTGTAAGCATTTCACAACCATTATTTTGATTTTGAAACCACGTTAGGTATATTTCTTTTGGGGAAATGTTTGGACATTGTACATCCAAGGATCAGTTGAAGTTATCAGAAGTCATTCCAGTTAGACGTATGTTTCGCAAACGGGAAACTTAATTCGGTAATACAAAAAATCCGTTTTAGGAAAATAGACGCTTACAGCTTGTTTTATGTTTTTTGTGGTTCAACATCGCGGAAGCTCTCTCGTTAGATTCGGTATATGTTTCTTAATAACAATGGATCATTCAGGTTTAAGATCGTCTATGTTTTGTCGCTCTGTTGGTCATAGTCTGTCGTGCCTTAGGTTAATGTCATGTAAGTTGGTATGTTTTCTCGCATGGTATCAGGCGCAGAACCTTGTCGGTTACAAATGCCCGAAATGGATGGGTGAGAGCCTGGCAGCCCTGTATCCTAGCAACCGAGAGAATATCAAGATCCTGGATGTGGCCGCTGGCACAGGGATGGCCGCGTTCGAGGTAAGTAATATATTGATCTTTCAGTGAAGGAAATGCAATAACACATACAATGACTTACGTAGGGAAGTTCCTTAACAGAGCACGACCTCCGTCTAAATAGGCAGTGTCGTGCATACACCATGACCTCCCTGATTTGAGGATGTGCTACACATACAATGACCTTGTCTTCGTAGGGGGTTTTACACATGTAGCATGATCTCCATTATGGGTCTTAAACATACAGAACGACCTCTTTCCAGGTAGTGTATATCACGCATATTGCCTGACCACTGTCTACGGAGGGAATGTCACGGGTATCACATGATCTACGGGAAGTTAAGGATGTTACGCGTGTTGTAAGACATCACCACTGTCGAGGGAGTAGATATCACGCATGTAGATATCACTCGATGCTGAATTTGTTTTTGCACACGCGGCATCATATTTGACAGGGTAAATGATTTCTCTGTTTTGCAGATCTTTCATATGAAAGAGTTATGACGTATCAAGTTAGTCGCTCTTTGTCTCAATATTTCAGATGAGGAAACATGGATTTGTTGACATTGATGGTCTGGAGCCGTCCCAGAAGATGCTGGATGAGGCCAAGAAGGACAACCTATATGGGCGATACATCTGTGATCTACTTGGCGAAAACACCCTTGATATTGCCGATAGTGAGTCAGATGAAATAATTACAACTATGGCGCAATAATATTACTCAAGAGAATTATTGCAGATATGGTCAAACTGGCAATCATAGTAATCATAGACATCCCTTATCCCTTATACCTACGATAGTTCCCCCAGTTCTCTGACATCTCAGATATCCTATTTCACTTACGGCTTCAAGAGTACCCCAGTTCTCTAACATCTCACATATCCTATTTCACTTACGGCTTCAAGAGTACCCCAGTTCTCTAACATCTCAAATATCCTATTTCACTTACCGCTCCAAGAGTACCCCAGCTCTCTAACAACTCATATATCCTATTTCACTTACGGCTCCAAGAGTACCCCAGTTCTCTAACATCTCATATATCCTATTTCACTTACGGCTTCAAGAGTACCCCAGCTCTCTAACATCTCATATATCCTATTTCACTTACGGCTCCAAGAGTACCCCAGTTCTCTAACATCTCATATATCCTATTTCACTTACGGCTCCAATAGTTCCCCATCTCCCTAACATCTCATATATCCTATTTCACTTTCGGCTCCAATAGTTCCCCCAGCTCTCTAACATCTCATATATCCTATTTCACTTTCGGCACCAAGAGATCCCCAGTTCTCTAACATCTCATATGTCCTATTTCACTTACCGCTCCGAATGTTCCCCAAGATCTGACTCCTCATCTATCTTATTTGTCTTACAGCTCCGACAATTCCCCCTGCACTAATATCTAATATATTCTATTTCTCTTAGAGCTGCGATAGTCCCCATAGCTCTAACATATGCATAAATGTTTGTTTCCATAATGTGTGGCCATAGGCCCACATACACGACACTATAATAGTAATATGGGTGATATTATACACAATCATTTTCGCTTCTCAAAAGCAACATGAATGAATGCCATTAATTTTGTAAGCACAGAGTGTGAAGTTGTTGACATAAGTTTTGAGAATATTTGTACTGATGGGTTCCTGATCACATAACTTGGTAGAAGAGCTTTTCTGATGGTGTCAAGGGAAGGGTATATCAAAGTAAAATGATACAGATCTTCGATTTCATCTCGATCACAGTGTGGACAGATACGTTGCTCACGGGGCATATTTGATATTCTCTTACATCTCATATATCCTATTTCACTTACGGCTTCAAGAGTACCCCAGCTCTCTAACAACTCATATATCCTAATTCACTTACGGCTTCAATAGTTCCCCCAGCTCCCTAACATCTCATATGTCCTATTTCACTTTCGGCTCCAATAGTTCCCCCAGCTCACTTATATCTCATATATCCTATTTCACTTTCGGCTCCAATAGTTCCCCCAGCTCCCTAACATCTCATATGTCCTATTTCACTTTCGGCTCCAATAGATCCCAGCTCTCTAACATCTCATATATCCTATTTCACTTACCGCTCCGAATGTTCCCCAAGATCTGACTCCTCATCTATCTTATTTGTCTTACAGCTCCGACAATTCCCCCTGCACTAATATCTAATATATCCTATTTCTCTTAGAGCTGCGATAGTCCCCATAGCTCTAACATATGCATAAATGTTTGTTTTCATAATGCATGTGTGGCCATAGGCCCACATACACGACACAATAATAATAATATGGGTGATATTATACACAATCATTTTCGCTTCTCAAAAGCAACATGAATGAATGCCATTAATTTTGTAAGCACAGAGTGTGAAGTTGTTGACATAAGTTTTGAGAATATTTGTACTGATGGGTTCCTGATCACATAACTTGGTAGAAGAGCTTTTCTGATGGTGTCAAGGGAAGGGTATATCAAAGTAAAATGATACAGATCTTCGATTTCATCTCGATCACAGTGTGGACAGATACGTTGCTCACGGGGCATATTTGATATTCGGCCTCTGTCTATCTGTAGACTTGTATGTCCAACTCTTGCATGAGCAAACTGGCGCGCAAACGTTTGTAGTGAAGAGTCTAATAAGTATTCTTCAGCATCAAGAGTTGTTTTGTATGTTGAGTATGTATCATATCTTGAACTGCTGGTTAAAAGGTCATGTCACTGTTTAGAACTGATATCCTGTCAACGCTGTTTAAAGTCCTGAACAAAATATTCCGTAATACCAACATCTTGTGAAGCCCAAGCATATCCCATTCCAACATTTTGTAGTAGGGTTCTAACGTCGGAACACCATGTATGTCGACCTTCATTGTCCAGATTATACAACATGTCATATGCCTTGCGTGGTAGTCGATGAGACGGGAGATGAAGGAGTCAGATCCAGTACTTGATGCTTCTGACGACACTATCCACATACAGAGGATGACGTCCACACTCCCCATGGGCCATAGCATTTGGTGTGTTCGTACCGGTTCCAATGTAGCGTTTACAATCAAGATATTGAACTCTCTCAATTGCGTCGACTCGTGTGTGTCCCCATATTTCACTTCCGTATAACAGGATAGGCTTTATTTCGGTGTCGAATATTTTTAGATAGGTCTTGAATGGTAACTTTCCATATGTCCACATTATACGTAAGATGTTCACTAAGGAACGTTTGCCGTTAGTTGCAAGGTGAAGGACCGACTGGCGCAGAGACAGGGTTGGTGTTAGCATAATCCCTCCCAGATTGTATCACCTATTTCAGCACGGCTCCCTTGGGGGCTGCATAAATCGCCTTACACGCGCATGCCGCGCGTCGTTGGATAGCTGTGTCCTGTGGCTACACGGAGAATGTTTCCGTTTGTTTTTACGCAACTTTATAGCCGAGCAATTAAGGTTTCTGTGATTTTAAGCTGTGCGTTTTTCTTCCACGTAGGCCCCGGTGGAAGAAATTTGTTCCACCCAGCCTCCGGTGGAAGTCGCCTGCGCCATGGCATTTTTCAAGCCTTTTACTTTGTCATATCTATGCATGCTATACGTTCTTGGAAACCTTGGGAAACGCTCTCTCCAAATATACAAACGTGAATATTGTGCTGCCCCTGGTAACCAGTCCAGATTGAAACTCCGACGTGATGTTTTGTGTAATTTTACTGAAGTTCAATTCTTCTGTGATATAGCAATTTTCGCCAACACACGCGCAGTCGTGATATAACGGCTACTATTCTTACAGATCACCTCAGAATATATATTTCTATAGCGCGTTTGAAAGCCTATGAAGGCGTGTTTTAGACAATGTATAATACGCACATGTTGCACATTCAGTGGTGGAGCTATATAAGTGTTAATGTGCGAACTGCAAAATATATGGGACGTGATATAGATTGGCGGAATTTAGATGAATCTGTACACCGGCTATACCGGCGGTGTTAATATTTACATATATAGTGCATTTGCAAGATTATTCATGGGGGATTCTGGGAATATGTAATATGTTGTTGTGCAACATTAGATAGTTGAGCAATACAGGAATGAACATGCTTGACAGAACTAAAAGTACAAGCGTTTGGAATCTAACCATAACAGCAATACCTGTAGTGTTATTATTTATAATGTTAGTGTATCGGAAAGCCCTTGAAAATGCGGTTCTGCCAAGGTATAATGTGCATTCGAGTCACACCTGATAGTCGGGCTCTGCGCGCAGTTATATTTTGCTGATACCGGATCAAATCTATGATCTGGCGTGCATGCTCCGTCGGCCCGTCGGCTTTATGACAGCTATACTTTATCACAAAAGCCGCCTCTATTGTCACTTAATTAGCTTTATATCACACTCTATATATCACATCTACGTATCATCATTGTTTTATAACGTCTGTTTGACCTGTCCTCATGGATTCGTTGTATATACATGCACATCTCTAGCTTCCTGTAAATCTAATTATCACTTCATTAGCTGTATATCACTCTGCTGTATTTACTGTTTAGTCTGAGGCGTGGCAGGTAATTTCCGGAGATGTACCACTAATCAGCAAATTTAATTTCGTCACCGTGAAGATATCCTTCTTTTGATAAGCAGCTTTGTGATTTTATAATCTTGTCGCCCGACTGATTTCGGCCATGTGCATAGAATGCTTGGTTTTCATTGGGATGGGCAATTCACACCTTTTGGCGTGCCCTTGCCCCTCCAAATGGACGTCATGCATAGAATGGAGATGGGCAATTCACAATTTCCTCCTCTCCCTTAAAACATCCGACTTGGTCACATGACAGTGACCTTCATCTAAACCATTCCATTGGCTATCTGGCGGGGACGTGGTAATATAAGTGAATGCTCACAATATCATCATCACAGACCGAGTGTCTTAGTGGACGAATACCAGTCGGCGTTGACGATCCCTATTGGCAAGTGAACTTTACTTTTATTACCTTTTGCTTGGTTTTAATAAGTCATCTACGCTGCTCAATATATCAAACTGATACATAGCATAAATAGGGTTCTTAAAATATCCAAGTACAAAACTGTGACATCAAGGCCCTTTTCTGTAGCTCCCAGAAACATAGTACAGTGAATCTTTTGCCAGTATGCCTTCCACAAATGTATCAGTGGTTTGTCAAAAGTGCAAAACATATTACAAAGGCGTTGCGCATTTAAAAAATGTTATCCTAACAGTTCTACTGCTGCTATAAACGCCATTCATGCCCAAAATCGCCGCCAAAGCGAGTCTTATACAGCTACTCAGCTTGTGTCCATGTCGGCTCTATTGGCATTTTGTGGCACATTCACAATAAACAAAACCAAATCCCTGAGTACATCAGGGTACTAAAACACTTTGGCCACACAATACAAGGAGAGGACGCACCTGTAGCCTCTCCTTCAAATAATAATCAATGCCGAGTACCAGTACTGGTTTAACTGGGTCGACAGAAATGGTACTCAGTATAATTACCAACACAACTCAGTCAGGGCTAATCTAACTAACTCTGGCTTATATGATAGGTTCCCTGAAAGTGAACCCACACTTTCAGGGTTTAAGCAATATTTAACCAATATTCTTAAAAAGCAGGGCGTAATGCTGGGGACACATGTCGCCGCGTTTCTAAGTTTTTCTATTTTATCCAAAACAGGTATTCCCAAATAGTA